GAGGAGAGTGCTTCAAGGAACTGCCCTGTAACCCCTCTGCAGCATGAGGCATTGAAAAGGCCGCCAAAGACTCACCATGGTGAATATAGGTCGACTCTCAGAATTTGACGTTGCTCATCCTGAGAGCTCCTACGTCACGAGGGTTGACAACTACTTGCGAGTCAACCAAGTTCGGGAAGATGGATTGAAGGCCGCGACACTGCTGTGTGTTTGCGGCCAAGCAACATTCGACATAATGGAGAACTTGGTTGCACCAGCGCCATTGGAGTCTATTGCTTATGCTGAACTAAAAAAAATGCTCAAGGAACATTTTGAGCTGAAGCTTTCAGTCATCGCTTGGCGACATGCCTTTGAACAGCAGGACCAGAGTCCCGGGGAGTCCGTCGCAGATTTCATAGCTGCTCTTCGCCAAGCTGCAAGGCCATGTGAATTCAAGGATCTTGAAGAATGGTTACGGGAGCATTTATTTGTGGTCTGAGGAGCTGAGAACTTCAGCAAAAGATCTTTGCTAGAGAAACATGTTTCAAGATGCGTTAAGGGAGATAACGGCCGAAGAAACAGCAGGCGGAGCTGTTAAGGCCTTGCGGCTCTCCAAGAACCCTCCTTGCTTGGACATGGTCCACCAAGAGGACGCCGAGAGGGTTGAAGACTCTGAATCGGACCATGAAGTCAATCGGTTGCAGCAACCTCCAGAAAGAAGGCCTCAAAGGCAACCTGACAAGGCAGTTCCCTTCTCTCAGTGTTTTGGGTGTGGAGGTCCTTCTGTGGCACCGATAAGGATTAAGCCTCGTCGGGTGCCTTTTGCTCTCAAGCAGAGAATAAATGCAGAGCTGGACAAGCTGTTGCAACAGGACATTTTGGACCCAGTGGATAGTAGTCCATGGGAAACCCCTATTGTCACACCACTTAAGGTCAACGGAGAAGTCCACATTTGTGCTGACTATAAATGCACATTAAACAAAGCTCTCCAGCAGCACTCCTATCTGGTGCCTGTAGTTAGCCATATTCTGGCGTCTCTACAGGGAGATCGCATTTTCGTCAAATTAGATTTGGCCCAGGCCTATCAGCAACTGCTGGTGGACAATGCCACGGCAGAGGCCCAAACCATTGTGACTCACCGGGGAGCCTTCAAAGTGCGAAGGCTACAGTTTGGGATGAATGTAGCCCCTGGCATCTTTCAGAGCATGATGGAATGCATGCCAGTCCCGGCCAGAAATACCACAGGCCCCTGTATATAGATGGGAGGCCACACAAGCCCCTTGGTCGAGAATACATATGGACTATGCTGGCCCCTTTCAGGGCAACTCTTCCTCATTGTTGTGGACAGTCACTCTAAGTGGCTGGAGGTCATTCCAGTGTCCACTACGACGACTGCTAGGACCATCCAGGTTTTCAGGGGGATCTTTGCAACGCATGGGCTCTCAGATGTCCTCGTCTCCGACAATGGAGCTCAATTTACTTCTTCAGAGTTTCAGTCCTTTTTAAGGGAAAATATGATTAGGCATGCCACATCAGCTCCATTTCACCCAGCCTCTAACAGCCAAGCAGAATGCATGGTTCACACTACAAAAGAATCCTTGAAAAGGATCACCCATGGCAACTGGCATCACAGGTTGACGCCTTGCACATCTACAGGCAAGAGCCCAGCTGAGCTCCGATGGGGTCACCGTCTTATCACAAAGCTGGATTGCTTACACCCTGATAGGGTTGCCTCGCAGGTGCAACACCCTAAGGCACCAAGGCAATTGCAAGTGGGTGATCTGGTTTGGGCTCACAATTATGGATCAGGGCAACTGTGGGTGGTAGCTGTGGTTTGTAAGGTGATTGGGCCACTTTCTTACGAAGTGGCCTTGGAAGACGGTCATGTGCTGTTCAGGCACAGTGACCAGCTTCGTTGGAGGTTACCAAGCCACCCTTCCACTCCTGACTCTGCTCTCGGGGGGGAGGAGGAACACGATCACGATCGTAAATCTCAGTCTCTCAGTGAAAGGGAAGCATTGTGTTCACAGAACGGGGGTTTTGCCAACGAGGCGGCTCCTAACTCTGGCACTATGTCCATGGGAATTGCGCTCAACCGGCTTTTCACACTGCTCTTACTTCAGGCAATGTGCCAACGGGCCATTGCTCTCAATCGGCTTTTCACGCCACTACTACCTCAGGCATTGAACCAACAGGACATTGTTCCCAATCGGCTTCTTACGCCGACCAGGTGGATTCCACTCCACCATGGAACTTTGGTTTGGGCCTACCAGAACAGGCCGGCCAACTGCAAATGGACAAAGGCTTGGGTCTACCGGGACAGGCCAGCCTTCACGTATTGGCTTCACCTGTATCGGACGGGTCCAATAGCCCCGGTCTGCTGAGCCTGGCAGGCGAGCTGCAGATCGGGAGCTAGCAGCAGCTCCGAGACGTTCGGAGTGGGCCAAAGGCCCACCGAAGTTTTTAAAGGACTACGTGAAGTTTCTGTCATTGCAAGCTTAAAATGCTTATGTATTTTTATTGCAACTGAAATGCTTATGTATGTTCTTTTGAAATTGAAATGCCTAAGTACTTTAATGTTGTGTCTTTGTATGACCTGTAATGTTTGGTATTTTGAATATTGACAGTAAATTGTAAGACTCTTGTACCATTGAATGTCATTGTGTGTCTTGTGAAACGTGTGTAGTATTGAACAACAAGAAATATTGTGTATGTGTTAAAGAACCAGGAGGGGAGGGGTGTAATGTACTGAGCTTTACTTATGAAACAGGTGCAGGGAGCTGCATTGGAACCGTTAGCAGACCACATGGCCTGCTAGCCAGACTTGCTGTCTGCAAGGTTAATCAGTATGCATTTGAGTGGGAGAATATGGTGCATTCATTGGCTGACAGTGCCCCAAGCTGAATGTATAAATAGGGCCGGAGCCATCTTTGTTTGAGTTCTGTTTTGTCTTCAGTAAAGAAGTACCTGTTTACTACTCCTGTCTCTTCAATGCTGAACCCAGCAGAAAACAGAACACTCCCGATTTCTAGCCTGATGCTTTAACCACTACACCAAACTGACACTCTGGATTTTAATTATAGATGTAACTTAAAACGATTAAGAAGTTATCTCACCCATTTCCCTACTTTGGCAAAAGGGCAAAAAGCTTGGAAATTCAGCAACCTGGGCAGACGACAAACTTGTGTTTTCAAATCTACTCAATTTTCTTGATGTCCTTTACTGAACCCCACATCACCCCACTTCATATGTCATGCAGGTTATAAACCATTTGGAGTACATTCAGATGTGTCTATGCTTTATTTAAACTAAAAAGATAATAAACGCTTGTTCTTAACCCTTGTTTCAGTAGATTATGCTTGGGGTTCAGATGGTCTCTTCCAAGCCCACAGTGGTAATTTCTGGAAGACCACGCTAATTTCATGGCCTAGGTTTAGGAGGAACAGAGCAGCTGGGGGGTTGTTTTTGAAAGAGTTTAACTTTGCCTGGGATTCTTTCTAGCCTCTTCCTTGCAAATGCAGTCTGGTACTCTTGCAGTTGGCATCAAAATATTCCCAATGGTCCAACAAGGAATCCTAACATCATGATTTGATAGAAGGGACATTAAGCCAAATAATGACGATTGGTTTAATTTCCTCCATTTCCATCTGCAGTAGTGGCATTATTATGTCATTTGGCAGGCAGGCAGGCAGGCAGGCAGGCAAGCAAAGTGGAGAATGTTTTTGTGCTGGTGAAAGATTTTGAGGGAGGTTCTGGACAATGGGGGATAGCAAAGAGATGACAAGTGGATTTTCTTGCCTTGGCTCCTGAGCCTCTGCCCAATCTGTTGAATACCTTATTGTCAGTCCTTGCCAAGGAAAACCATCAGCCTAATAGTGTTGTTTCCCACCCATAGGCTGCAATCTGTGGTAGTGGCGGTGGGTGAAGATTCAGTGTCAAATTACATATCCTCCTTCAAATGTGTCTGAGATTACAGAATTGTGACTGAGGTGACAGCATTTCCATTCTTTTCTGTGAAGTAACTGAAATAAATCTGCAGATGAAGAATGACAGAATAACAGAGTTGGAAGGGACCTTAGAGGTCTTCTAGTCCAACCCCCTGCCCAAGCAGGACACCCTCTACCATTTTGGAAAAATGATTGTCCAACCTCTTCTTAAAAATTCCAGTGTTGGAGAACTCACAATTTCTAGAGGCAAGCTGTCCCACTGCTTACCTGTTCTCACAATCAGGAAATTTCTCCTTAGTTCTAGGTCAGGGGTCCCCAACCCCTGGGACATACCGGTCTATTGCCCGTTGGGAACCGGGCCACAAAAGTGGCAGGTGAGTGCATGAAGCTTCATTTGTGCATGCACAGGAGCTAGGTTGCGTGCATGAAAGCATCCTCTCCCCCCCCCCCGTCACTGCCACTGTCACTGCTGCTGCTGGTCTGTGGAGCCAGAAAAATTGGGGACTGCAGTTCTAGTACTCTGGATAGGGGTGTGTTTGCTCACCAACACCCCCCCCCCCATTCTGCCTTATACCAAACCAGAGCATTGGTGAATTCAGCACAGCATCAATGATAGGTCTCCAAAATATTGAAGAAAGGTCTGAGAATGATTTTTTATTGAAAACTGTCAGGAAGTAATGAAGTCCTAAATGTTTTTTTGCATTCCTCCCCTCCCCCCAAGTAATTTCACTTGGTCTAAAGGGGAAAAAGTATTTGCAAAGGAAAGGGCAGCACAAGTTGTCAGGTATGAGGTATATATGCCAATGATAATTAGAAAAGAAACATATATTTTGTAGAAAGCATGTATTCAGCAATTTGCAGCCACACTGGAGAATTGTATAATATCCAATGTGTTCATTCGTTCCTCAAAAAACAAAAATGAAATAACTCTCTGAGTATTATGATCTTCCTCATATGTCGGCCTATGACCGTAATTAAAATTTGACCATAAGTCAAATATCTTTCACTTCAAACAGCAAGACAAAGAGATCATGGGTGTGATAAAACCTTGCTTATTTTTTTCTTCTTTTGTAGGAAACAAGACTGAATTGTATCCGAATAGCTCGGAAAGGTAAATATTCTTATATGTTTATTTACTTCATTTTTTTAAAAAATCCTGCCTTAATATTTGGTCAATTCAAGGTGATGCTACCACTTCTTATTTCCATCCTATCAACAACCCTATGAGATGGGTTGGGCTCAGAGGGATTCATCCAGCTAGCTAAGGAAGGACTAGAACTCACAGTCTCCTGGTTTCTAGCCTAGTGCCTTTACCACTAGATAAAATTGGCTCTGTTTTTGGAAGTGGTTGGTCCTTGTCTACTTCTAGGGCTGAGAGAGAAAGAAACTGGCCCAAAGTCACCCAGTTGACTTTCAAGCTTAAGGAAAGTCTAGAACTCATGGTCTCCTGGTTTTTAGCCAGACACCTTTGCCACTACACTAAACTGTCCCCCTCTTCCTTCTTATGCTTTGTGAAATCTCTCCATTTCTAAGAAGTCTTTCCCTGCCTCTTAGATGTGTAGGACTATTGTTTTCATCACATACTCAGTCACATCTTCCTTTCCTTCCTTCCCCTCCTGAAGTCTGAATTGTACAAATCTCATTTCCCCAGACATAATTCGAAACATCCTAGCAGTCATCTGAATGGCTCTCCAGGGACACTGGAAGAACAAATATTTTTTTGGGGGGGGGGTGTGTTTTTGTTCTACATAAGAGGCAGCCTTTGGAGAAATTACTGTACTCTAAAATTCAGCTGTTAAAAGCAATCTATAATAACAATCTGCATCAAGGATGGGCAGTTGTTGGGTGATAATGCAAGATGAGCAGGACTGTGCTGTATATGTTGTGGGGGCAGAATTTTCTGGTGCTGGTTCTCTAAATTTTGGAGAAAAGTTTTGAAGAACTGATAGGACAATGGGGAAAGAGACATTCAAAAGGTGCAGAAATGAGATTCAGGACTCCACTGATCTCTAAAATTATGATTGCTGATTCCCGGTATACAAAGTGCTTTATAGATCACCATATACTATAGGATTAGGTCCATGCCTACAAGGAATTTGCTATCTAAATACCAGCGGAGAATAAGACTAGAAAGAGAGCAATCTAGACAAAGGGAATAGAGAGATCCCCAAGTTCACTGAAAGATGTTGTGATGGGCAATTGGCCTTGTGATATGTAGTTTTAATGTTGGGTTGAAATGTTTTCTCTTTTTCATTCTCAGGGTCCTTGAGGATTTGTTTCTTTATTTTATTTATCCCATTTTTTAACCACCCATCACCCTCACATATCTTCTTTCTGATAGCTGTTTTGTGTTTTCTTGATGGAAGTGGCAGAGGATGCTACTTGCTAGTCTTTCTCCATATTTCTCAATCTGAACAAAAGGAGGTCCCTCCTGGTCATGTCCTATAGAATGGAAGGGAAGTTAGGGGTGCCAGGGGGGCTGTAGACTGAGAGAGAACTGTATGATGGAAGACAAGATATTTATGTATAATCCTTGGTGACCTGGATCTGGAGATTTTCCATTTTTAAGTCTGCCTATGGATACACTTTACAGTTGGGACACAATCTGAGGGTCCTTCTGGACTGATGACTCTTAGTTGAAGAGGAGGTGGCAGTCATGGCTACTGTAGGTTGTACTAATCGTGTCTATTCCTGGATTTGGAAGCTTGGCTCATGGTGTCTTAGTCACCTCCCATTTCAATTGCTGTAATGTGCTCTACATGGGGCTGCCCTTGAGGACTGCATAGAGTTTTCTTAGTGTAGTTCATTAATATATTGTTCCTTTGATTCAAGATATGAAATGCCGTGGATTTTTAGTTTTGTATTCAATCCCACTTTAAAATAAAAGAATTTCTTACCAATATGTATGCAAAAGATGTACCTTACATAGTATAAACTCAATCTGCTCATCAGAAACTTTGAAATACACATTCCTTTTGATGATGAAGCCTAATTCAACTGTACTTAGGGGCAATGGCTGGAGGTTTTGTGTGTCTTGCTTTTAATTGCAAAAGACACACAGATGGATGATTCCTGCCAAATTTCCACAAGGGCAGTTCAAAGTATCATCAAAACAATGACATCAATTGCTAAATAATTCACCATGTGAATTCAGAAGACCAGTTGGTTGTGATTTAATTGAAAAAAACAAGAATCTCTAGACAAATTTTGACTAGATTGGAAAATGTCATGGTTTTTAAAATGTCAACCATATAAGAGATGTATGTACATCTATGTCAAATATCTGCTTGTCAGACATCAACAATACATAGTTCAGATTTGGTTGTTTGAGCAGCGAATCAGCTCTATAAATAAGAAATAATTCAGACTGTGGCACATTCACTCTTTTTCGCTCTGAGAACTACAGAAAATAAGAACTACAGTGTTCCAATTGGGTTATGGGAGGAGTGGTATTTTTTATTTTACAGTCATGTATATCATTGGAGGATAATTTAGTAGTGAAAAGCATAATTTCTATTACCAGCAGAAGTAATCAGAGGAGCATTGTAATTATATGCAAGTTTAGCAATCTACCCACCAGCTGTAACATGTTTAAGAAAATGAGAAGTTGCTATGGAAAGAAGTATCAGAACTGATATCACGTTTATTAGGCACAGAGCTTCCTTTACCTGTTATTTCCTGGGTGGTCTGCAGATTGCATACAATCCTTGAGCATCCTTCTGGTGGCTCTGGAACCCCTCGAAGTTTACCACTAAAATTAGCTTCAAGAAGAGCATGTTTCTTTGGGAATTCACACAGTTCTCTCACTCTTTATCTCTCCAGAGAGCAGAACATCAGACAATGTATTTCAATGGTACATTCCAGGTTTTAGTTGAAAGTTTTTCAATTATCAGAAAGTTTGACAAGGGAACCGGTGATTCAAACAGGGTGTGGGTTTTCCTCCACTGAAAGTAATCAAGCTGAAGCAAGAAAGTCATCCCTTAAGGTTGGCTTAATTGGAATTCCATAGTGAAGCAGAGGTTGCCTCAATCGTCTAAGTGTCTCCTACCAATTCTACATCTCTAAAATATGGCAATAAGAATTCCCCATTCCCATTTTTATGCATTTTTTATTTTATTTAAACTGATAAGAACCATAACTCCATAAGCTCCATGAATAATTAAATGCAAAGGTAATACTTCCTTGGATTGAACTCAGTTGTGAGTGACACCGTGAACACATCCTTGAATAATGAAGCAATTCTCCACTGATTTCTTCCAGAATGCTCTTTTGATTCCACAATATAATGTCTGTTTTGGGGATTTCTTTTTGGTCTCCAACTCAAACACTAACCAAGTCTATCCTGCTTAGTTTTGGGGGGAGATCAACTGGCAAGGTGCTATTGCTAACCTGCTGTAACAATCTTTAAAAATATCTCAGATGATGTCCAGCAGTCTTGTTCCTATGTCCTCTGAGGATGCACGCAAATTATGTGCAAGAAAGGAGAAGCTCTTGGTGTTACTCTCCTATTTTCATGTTCTCTTGATCCATCTGTTTGCCGTTTATCTCCTACAGCTGCCTGTAAAGAAAGTAAGCGTCCCTTGGAAGTTTCCCAGCACTCGGAGGAAATGGGCCTCATTCTGGGCATCTGTGCTGGAGGACTGGTGGTGTTGATCATCCTTCTTGGGGCAATCATTGTTGTCATTCGGAAAGGGTAAGGAAGCATTTTGAGGACTTTGTTCTTGCTATCATGCAGATAGCTCCACCCACTTTCCAACAAACATACCTCTCTTTGGAGCCGAATCTGACTCAGCTTCCTTTTAGAGATTAGCTACTTAGTCTAATGGAAGAATGTAAATGCTCAGAGAAGAGGCAATCAGGTCATCTATGGGGAGTTGGGCAAATTTTCTTGATTCATTTCTTAGTAGAGCTGTGCAGTGCTTTGGATTTAACTTGGAAGAGATACTATGGAATCTGAGGAACATGAACCCAGCACTCTGTATGCAACACATTACAGGTGCTGCATGATGGTGGGAGCAGATACGGCTGTTTTATGACATCCCAGGAAGGTGCTGTGTTCATGTTTCCATGGATTCCAAAGTAATTCTTCTGAATTTAACATGAGGATTGCATAGCCCTACATTTTAATACAACCCAGCATCATTCACTTTATTCTTGCTAGATTCTTTATTCTTACTTTAAGAAGAGACTGGACAACATTTGTCTGAAATGGTATAGGGTTTCCTGCTTGAGCAGGTAAGGGGGGACTAGAAGACCTCCAAAGTCCCTTCCAACTCTGTTATTCTGTTAGATCAGACCAGGGCTTATTGACATAACATGTTTGTCAAAGCATGAAAATATTTCACTGTTTCTTGAAGACATGTCCTCAGAACATAACTTTTATCTCAATGGCAGCTTGCTGCTGAAGCAGGCTGAAGCTGGTCTGAGCTGTTCCAGATGAAAGTATGTTTTCTTTGCTCTTCCCCCTCTTACAAAATAATTCTCATACGGGCATTTGAAAGTCCGTGGAGGGTGGGCTATTCTTTTCTGTTCCTACTTTTATATCTTTAGAGCATAAAACAAGTTTTAATTCTGATCTAACTGAATCTTTCTCTTTCCAGCAGCCATTTCATGAATCCTAAGAAATCGTATTCTTCCTGCTGCTTTGAAAAGGCACTTCTGAGGTCTCACAATTTTTTCCAAGAGAAATTATTTTTTTAAATTCCCCCAAATCATTCAGCAGATTAGGTCCTTAGTTTTGTTTAATGCCCAAGGTGTCTAAGTGATTTTTGCAGCATTAAAAAAAATTAAAAGTGTGCGTTGATAATACCAGTCTTCAGTGATTGGAGAGAACTGTTTGCTTTTTCATATCATTTCCCCAGAAATACTGGAGAAGTGAAAAAGAAAGAAATAGGGCTGCTGTTACCAAGATATACTTTCAAATAATTATTTTTAAATGCTAGTATTCAATGGCCCACCAAGATTTCCTCTGTGGTTCAAATCCAAAATCAGATCCCAAAATACATCGAGGTAGAATGCTTTTAAATTTCTACCTTCAGAATTATAGTCAGTGGACTATGACAGAATATCAATGCTAACTGTTTAATAATATTACTTGTTAGGGAATAACCATTGTTAAGGATCTAGCCCAGTGGTTCTCAACCTCAGCAGTTTTAAGATATGTGAACTTCAAGTCCCTGAGTTCTGCAGCCAGCCCCACTTTATTTTCATCTATTAAAAATACCTCCCCACTCAATCTTCTAGCCTTTAGGGCTCTGCCTCTAAATGAGCTATTAGTATATAGACTATAGCAGTGTTTTTCAACCTCAGCAACTTTAAGATATGTAAACTTCAAATCCCAGAGTTCCCCAGATTTACAAGGCATTAAAAACCTGGCATCAAGCCTGGAGCTCTGATAGTGTGGGTGAGCCTGCTTCTTGGTTACATTGACCGTACATTTTTTGATAATTCTCAGCTGCTGTCTTATGCTGTGTTATGTTATTTGTGTTTTAAATCATTTGTTGAGTTTTTAGTCTGCTTTTATTTTGTTTTAATTGTTAGCTTCCCAGAGTCATGTATATCACATGAATGGCCATATGAATGAATGAATGAATGAATGCTTCTTTTTCATTTTCCATTAAAAGATAGGAATTGGGGAGAATTGTTGTAACACCTCCCCTGTAGCTACAGATCCTCTTTCAAAGCATATGAGTAAACTCCCTCTCTTCCCTCCTATTTTCTGGTGAGACAGTTGAACTATACAATCACACACAGATACACAAATCAAGTAAGCATTGTCTCCCTCACTCTTAATCTTTTCTCCATCCTTTCCATGTTTATACTCCTGCCTCTCTCCTTGTTGTCTTGCTCCTTTTCATACTCTGTGAGTCATTTTATGTCAGGAGTAAAAGATCAGGTCCACACATGAGAGTCCAATTAAGCTGATCTATTTCTAGTCATGCCTATGCACAAGAATTTTGTCAAGGTTAACACCTACTTGGGGTTAGATAAGGGTCAATGGAATTCAAGAGGGGTTGAATTTAGTTCACTTGTGGCTATGTAGGGATTCTAGGCTGATCCCTCTTAACTCCACCCTCAGGTTCTGCCATTCCTTCCCCTACATTTTATCTCCAGCTATTGCAAATCCATCAGCCTCTTTTTACCTGACCAATAAGTCAAGCTGTCCCTACTAATATCCTGTAAATCTGCTGGGACTGCAAGCCATAGAATTTCTAACAAGAACAGCTAAATTGAAATACTGATTGGGGCATTCCAGAAGTTAAATTTGGAGGGGGAGGGCTGCCATCTGCTGATGCCTATCTACATATCAAAAGTGACTCAGAATGGGAAGCTAGTAATGGGGGATTTGTTAGGGTACATTGGACTACCCCATTAAACAGATACTGTTGTGTTTAATTTATCACTGGATTTAACCAGCTTTACTTTCAATTGCCATTTGGTGAGCACTCTCTCCCCCCCTCCAATGCATTTTCATCAGTATGCCAAGCTCCATCTTTGGTGTGACTTAGAATTTCAATTTTTTTATCATCGAAACATGTCGCAGAATTGTCACTCCCAGCTAGTAATTTAGAATCAAATGTGATGTAGTATATTATTTCATGCCAGATTTTAATAAGGTCAGTCCTTATTCCTTCATTCAAGCAGCAGCAGCCGTAGCCTAGACTGGCTAAGGGAGAGACTCAGTGGCATATTTGGCATGCTAATGGTCTTGAGATCACTGCTTGGAAATGTTAGTGTCAACGCTGCAAATACTGTATATTCTTGCTTTGACAATGTGCAGAACTGTCTGGTATATATATAGTTAAACCAGCAACTAGGAGAGAGGGAGGAGCATAGGGATAGCCCGGGAGAAAGAAACCGGAAGTAAATCACATCTTTCAAGTTGATTGGAAGATGTGAACCATGACTCTACAATAAGGGAGTGGACAATGTCTGGAATGCTAGGCGTACCGGAAGATAAGCAGTTCTAAGCATTCCACCATGCCGTGCTGACATATTTTAACATGAATAAAAGCTTTTAGGAGAAAACATGCCTGAAAGTCCTTTTAAGTGTTTCGTTACTCAGACACATGACAGTTAGATTGTATTGTATAGTCCAAAATATTGGAGCACTCACATTGGTCAGCTTAGAGGGACTATTGTTCTGATTTGCCTCTAAGGCAGCACTAGTGTTGAACAAGAAGTACTTTTGTAGCAAGCTCTCATTCATTCTGATGAAAAAAGAATTTTCTTTTTAAATAACTTCAGAGAACAAAAAAGGAATCTCAGAAAAATCCTCATAGAATTCTTGCACTTATTTCAGTAGGAAATTACTAAGGAGTAGGTAAGGTAAATATTGTACAGTCCTTCCTCTTTAGAAATCCACTGCTTCTATGGCTCTTTTTTCATTAAATCCCAAGACATTAAGTGAATTCCCCTCCCCCCAAAGTGTTTTCCTTAACTGCAAAGACTAAATCCTATTTTTGAGAAATGTTTGGAAATTTTCTCCTCTCCTAGGGAGCAAAACATTCACCACATTTCTCTGCCCACAAATTTGTTGGAGAATTCCTAAATGCCATTTTGCCCTGTGTACCCAAATACATGTTCCACAGTAATGTAAGGTGGCGATTTGCTGTCTATATAAGAACACACATACCATTGCTTTGTGTAGTGTGGAAGCTGTATGCAGTTTATTTACAGGGAATGGAAATTTGGGTGTATTTCCCAGTTTCAGAGAGAATTGACCTGGGAGTTTCCTACTGATAATGACTTTGCCAACAGTGTCATGATGTTTCACCATGGAGAGAAAAGATTGTAGTAAATTCAACATCATGAGGCAAAAATGTATATATAGTTACCTTATGGTAAGATGGGCAGCCAATACATTTTATTTATAAAAATGGGGCTCCATATTTCTTGAAGTAATTCAGGGAAGGGCTAGGTGAGTCCTTTGCGACAATGGCATCTAATCCATAACCCTTTTGATTGCCATAATTAAGTTTTATCCACAATTAGAAAAAATGGACAATTAGAGATTAAATTGCAGGCAGAATCTCCATCAAAAAAGAACAATTTCTGTAATACCTAATTCTCCACGTGTATGAAGTTGCAAATGAAAAGCAGTGTGTTGGATAGGGCCTTTATTTATGGAGGGTCCCTGAATAATTTTCAGCCAGTCACTCTTTTTCAGTCTATGGTGGTGCTGTGTATGCTTCTTGATCTTCAGGAAATGGGAGAGGGAAGTAAGATTGTTTCATTGAGAAAATCAATAAATGTCACGCACAGTGCAGAACTAAGCTATCACATCCATGCATAGAAGGTAACAAGCTGAGAATGGTAGAGACAGCTTCAGCTAGCATGCTCCTCCCCACCTGTCTTCTGTATGTGTAGAGCTTAGACATAATTATAAAAATTTGAAGGGGCTCATAACAAGAGCATTATTGGTGGATAGTATTCACCATGGAAAATTAGATACCATGTGAATGAGAACAGGGCTGAAGTGTTTTGAAATTAGAAATTAACCATGGAGAGCTTCAATATTATCATGGTTTCTTTTTTGGTGTTCCAGACAATATTTTGGTGGCCACCAGGCTGATACTTGATTTTTCCTCTGTTGGGGGGAATATTGGGGAGTTTTCTTTAAAAAAAACTATGTTAAATCTGTGCACTGTCATTTTTATGAGCTTCTCGCCTCAGAATATAAGCAGCCAAATT